TGTCCAAAATTTCGAAAGGCCCAATGAAGCAAGGTGATAGCTTTCCCTTCTTTTTGAAATGAACAACTCCTTGATGAGGTTGTATTTTCAGAAATACATGATCTCCAACTTGAAATGCTAAAGGTCTTCTCCTTTGATCTGCATAACTTTTCTGCCTACTTTGAGCGGTCTCAAGTCTTTGTTTAATTAATTTCACATTTTCGGTAGTTTCTTGAACTAACTCTGGCCCTAAAAGATGTGCTTCTCCGACTTCTGTCCAACATATTGGTGATCGACAAGGCCATCCATATAGAGCTTCATACGGTGCCATACCAATACTTGCTTGAAAACTGTTATTGTAAGAGAATTCGACTAGTGGTAAGTGTCTCTCCCAACTATCCTTAAAGTCCATCACACAAGCTCGAAGCATGTCTTCTAAAGTCTGAATTGTTCTTTCTGATTGGCCGTCAGTTTGAGGGTGAAAAGCTGTACTAAAACATAATTTTGTACCCATAGCTTTCTGCAAACTTTGCTAGAATTGTGACGTAAAACGAGAATCACGATCTGACACTATTGAGACTGGTACTCCGTGCAACCTAATGATTTCTCGAATAAACAATCGACTTAATGATTCGAGTGTGTCTGCTGGTCCTATTGGTAGGAAATGTGCCATCTTAGTTAACCGATCAACCATAACCCAAATAGCATCATGGCCTTTTGGCGACCGAGGAAATCCTGTTACAAAATCCATTGTTACGTGTTTCCACTTCCACTCAGGTATTGGTAAAGGTTGGAGTTTCCCTACTGGCTTTTGATGTTCTGCCTTCACTTGCTGACACATTAAGCACTTAGATACGAATTGAGCAACGTCCTTCTTCATTCCACTCTACCAATATTGTCGCTTGAGATCCTAGTACATCTTGTTTCCTCTCGGATGAACCGCAAAAACCGAATGGTGAAATTCTTTAAGTACTTCTTCTCTCAATTGTTTGTTGCTCGACACAAAAATTCTACCTAAATACCTTAAACTACCATCTTGATGGAGCGTCTAATCCAGTGAAGATTCCCCGAATGTTACTCGTGCCTTGATAAAGTCGGTCTCTTGATCAAGTCTTTAGGCTTCCAACACTTTGGTAAGAAGTTAGGGTGTTGTAACTACTGCAAACAACCTATCATTTCCATTCTGATTTTCTGGTTGTAACTTAAATTCATTCACAGTGCTTACCATTTCCCATTCTTTAATTGATAAATTGGCTACAATCTCTCTTGTCTTTCGACTTAGTGCATCTGCTACAACATTTGCCTTCCCGGGATGATAAGACAAAGTGAATTGGTAATCTTCAAGGTACTCTATCCAGCGTCTTTGCCTAATGTTCAAATATCTTTGTGTAAACAAGTACTTTAAGCTTTAATGATCGGTAAATATCTCAAGCTTTTCACCATAAAGCTAATGTCGCCAAGTCTTAAGTGCGTAGACCACAACCGCCAACTCCAGATCGTAGGTAGGATAGTTTTTCTCATGATTCTTCAATTGTCTTGATCCATAGGCTACTACCTTCCCGTTTTACATTAACACACTACCTAACCCTTCTTTAGAGGCATCACAATATACCGTGTAACCGATGTCACGTTCGGGTATGATTAGTATAGGAGCGCTCGTCAGTCTCTTCTTGAGTTCTTGAAACGACTGCTTGCAAGTTTCGTTCCATTCAAACTTTACTCCCTTTTGTGTTAGACGTGTCATTGGCTTGGCTAATTTGGAGAAATCTTGAATGAATCTCCTATAATAACCTGCTAAGCCCAAGAAACTACGAATCTCAAATGTGTTCTTAGGTTGTTTCATCCCATTACTACTTCTACTTTAGTAGGATCCACTGATATTCCTGATTCAGACAACATGACCTAAGAATTTTACTTCTTTCAACCAAAATTCACATTTGCTAGCTTTAGCATATAGTTGGTTCTCTCTTAGAACTTGCAAAACGGTTCTCAGATGTTGCTCGTGATCTTCCTCCGATCGTGAGTATATCAAAATATCGTCAATGAAAACTACCACAAATTGGTCCAAATAAGGTGTAAAAATTTTGTTCATTAAACTCATGAATACCCCAGGCGCATTCGTCAAACCAAATGGCATTACCATGAACTCATAGTGGCCATAACGGGTCTGAAACGTAGTTTTGGGTATATCTTCTTCTTTGACACGAAGTTGGTGATATCCTGACCTAAGGTCAATTTTGGAAAAACATTTTGAACCTCTTAATTGGTCGAACAAGTCATCGATTCTTGGTAATGGATATCAATTTTTAATGGTGACTTGATTTAGTTGTCGATAATCGATGCACAATCTTAAGGTTCCATATTCTTCTTCGTGAATAATGCTGGCGCTCCCCAGGGAGACGTACTTGGTCTGATAAACTTCTTACTCAATAGTTCTTGCAACTGCTCCTTCAATTCTCGGAGTTCAGCTGGCGCCATATGATGTGGTGCTATTGAAATTGGTGAAGTCCCAGGTTGAAGCTCGATCGTGAAATCTACGTCTCGTTTTGGGGGTAATCCCAGTAATTCGTCTGGGAAAACATCAGCGTACTCGCACACCACATGGGGTAATCTTAGATCCTTTCGATTTTCGTCTTCCAAAATTAAGCTTGCCAACCATCCAGTCAGTTGATCATGCCACCGCGACTTGCGACACGTTGGAGTTAGAGAATCTTGTCTATCTCCTTTAAATTGAACTTTCGTGCCATTAAAGGAGGATATTGTCACTGTTTTACGGTAACAATCAATAATGGCTCGATGAATTGACAACCAGTCCATTCCTAAGATGACGCCAAAATCAGACATATCCATAACTCTTAGATCACAGATCAAATATGAGCCGGAGATTTCTAGTTCACAAAATTTACATGCTAGATTTACTCGGGTTTGGCCTCCTAAGGGTGAAACGACACTCATAGCTATCTCTAGCGTCTATGGCTCTAAACCCAAACTTGTCACACATGCAGTGGATATAAAAGAATGCGAAGCTCCAGAATCAAATAATACTTTAACCCAAGAATTCATAAGGATTAACATACCTTGAATTATTGATGGGTTACCAACATTTTCTTCTTCTTGGAGAGCATACATTCTCCTTACTGCCTGTTGGTTAGTCCCTCCTAGTTTTTTTCCATTTCCAGCTCATTGTGGTTGTGTCCTTGGTCGGCCTGCATTCCTAGAGGCTTGTGGCTGCCCCTTGTTGGTCTGAGTATTTGAGTAGGCTTAGAACCTTGCCCTGGTTGGCATTGTTGTATTATTGTGCCCCTCGCTGATCCATAAAATACTCCCCACCTTGAGGACACTCATTTTGACGATGCCCCTGTTGACCACATCTGAAACATTTTCCTTTCCATTGTTTACGAAGTTTCCTCCTTGCTGGTTTCCTCGATTCTGCCTGTGTTGCTGCTGTATCCCTCTGGCATAAGGTGCTGGTGCAGGATGGTTTCTGGTGTTACGGACTGGACCTCCTCCGCGTGGTTGGTTGTTGTTCCTTGATCGCTGATTTTGAATGCGTTTGGAATCCGCTAACTCTCGTTCCACAATTAAAGCTCGATCCACTATTTGAGCATAGGTGGAAAGCTGCACTGCGATCAATCTTCTCCTAATGTCTGTGTCCAAACCCCATTCAAATTGTCTAACCTTATCCTCTTCATTTGCTACTATGGCTGAAGCGTACCGTGAGAGAGCTTCAAAACAGTTCACATATTGAGTGACTGACATTTTTCCTTGTTTCAGTTGGAGAAACTCTTGAATCATTTCTTGTCTTAATGAGTTGGGAAAATACTTTTCCATGAATAAGTCTTCGAATTGTCTCCAAGTTAATGTGTCTACTTGTCGAGTACTCCTGATCATTTCCCACCAATGATCTGCTTCCCCTTCCATTTGGAATGCTGCCATGGTTACTCTATGTTGCTCATTGTGGATGTCAGAAGTATCTAGCAACTTCTTAATTTGTCTTAACCAAGCTTCAGCTTCATAGGGGTTTGATCCACCAAGGAATTTGTGGGGATGTAGCTTTTCAAATTTTACTATCATTTCAGATTTGCTTTGACCTTGGTGTTTTGGGGTGGTATATTGCTTACCCTATCAGCAATTGCACGTATAATTCGAGCGGCATCGCCATCAGATACTCCATCACCATTACCGTTGTTATTATTTCTTTTTCGTCCAGCCATTCTGCATGATGGGATTTTTAGTAATTTGTGATTTATTCATTTATTTATTATTATTATCATCATCATCATCATCATCATCATCATCATCATCATCATCATCATTATTATTATTATTATTATTATTATTATTATTATGTGCAAGGATAGTAAAAAAAAAAACTTCATTAGTTAGATTAGATAAGCTACAATCAACAAAATACAAGTAAAACAAAGGAAAAGATAAAATACTACGGGCAAAGGATAACCCTTACAATCCAAGTTAACCCCTACACGCACAATTCTAAACTAGGCAATTTACATGTAAGTATACAAAAAAATCAGTTAACCTAGTTTATAGTTCCCTTAAGACCTCTAAAATAGCTAAGGAAAGTCTCTCCTCACAAGGGCTTCTAGCTCCCATGTGACTTGGAAAAGCCCCATGAATTGCCACAACACCTCACGAAAACAGCAGTTTCGTACACACAATGCCCTAGCAGCTGCACCAGCTCCTCCCGATAGGTCCTCCAGTCCCTGAAGTCCATTGACCCATCTCTCTTCACAATTTTGCTTGGGTCGGGCATGATATACTGATGGCTCCAAAAGTCAAAAAGGTTGCCCATCCTATTGGTGAAACCTTCTGGGAAAGGGCCTAGTTGATATAACTAGGGAGTCTCTTGCCTCAAAATTTGGATAGGTCCAATGTAGGCAACCCAACTCTCAGATTTCCAAGCACAGCCTCCTAGGGGATAAATCCTGATATATACAAATGAACTGCAGCCCATTACGAACATCCCAACTCTTAAACACGGCTCCTACATCTCCAATGCTCTAGTCAGTATTGCCTTCTATAGACTCCTCTTCAGTGTCTGACTCGATCACAATTATCTCATTTGGGTTGTTTATGGGTGCAATCTCTTCAGGGTCAGATTCAGGCTCAGACTCAGGTTCAGGCTCAAGCTCAGGATCAGGTTCAAGGTCAAGCTCAGGATCAGATTCATAGTATTTTATAGGCATCTCCACTTCTTCACTTGGGTCAGATTCTATGTCATAGTTTTCCACCGAATTTTCCTCGTTAGAGTTAATATCTGATGACCCTGGCATCCTACAATCAAAAAAGTTTTAACTTAGTTAAGTCACTGAAAATTATAAGTTAACGTAAGGCTTTCTTAAACGTAAAAAAAATATAATTGCTACCCATGGCCCAAAGGTTCGAATATAAGCTCTGATACCAAACTATGACGTCCCAATTTTTCTTTTGGAACATCATAAAATTTAAATAACAAATGACTCACTAAATAAAAAAAAATTAACAACTAACTAGGGGAATTTAGATTTTCACAAAGTCGAAGCTTAACAACAAAACTAAATTACGAATCCGTATACAATATTACAACACTTCCATAACATTCGTAATTACTAATACCAAAGATAATAAAGTTTCATTGTGCTAAATTCTTAATCTCAAGTTAGCCACGGTTCTGTACTCGCAGCAGTCCCAAATTCAGCCTCAACCTCTTCTTCGACATAATCTTGCATGAAACGCTAGGGCAACAAAATATATATGCCATGAGTTTTGCAACACAGTAAGAAAACATAACCAACCTACTATTCTTTTTAAGAGAAAACAATCAAGACAGCAGTTTCGTACACACAATGCCCTAGCAGCTGCACCGGCTCCTCCCGATAGGTCCTCCAGTCCCTGAAGTCCATTGGCCCATCTCTCTTCACAATTCTGCTTGGGTCGGGCATGATATACTGAAGGCTCTAAAAGTCAAAAAGGTTGCCCATCCTATCGGTGAAACCTTCTGGGAAAGGGCCTGGCTGATATAACCAGGGAGTTTCTTGCCTCAAAATTTGGATAGGTCCAATGTAGGTAACCCAACTCTCAGATTTCCAAGCACAGCCTCCTAGGGGATAAATCCTGATATATACAAATGAACTGCAGCCCATTACGAACATCCTAACTCTTAAACATGACTCCTACATCTCCAATGCTCTAGTTAGTATTGCCCTCTATAGACTCCTCTTCAGTGTCTGACTCGATCACAATTATCTCATTTGGGTTATTTATTGGTGCAATCTCTTCAGGGTCAGATTCAGGCTCAGACTCAGGTTCAGGCTCAATCTCAGGATCAGGTTCAGGGTCAAGCTCAGGCTCAGATTCATAGTATTCTATAGGCATCTCCACTTCTTCACTTGGGTCAGATTCTATGTCATAGCTTCCCACCAAATTTTCCTCGTTAGAGTTAATATCTGATGACCCTGGCATCCTACAATCAAAAAAGTTTTAACTTAGTTAAGTCACTGAAAATTATAAGTTAACGTAAGGCTTTCTTAAACGTAAAAAAAATATAATTGCTACCCATGGCCCAAAGGTTCGAATATAAGCTCTGATACCAAACTATGACGTCCCAATTTTTCTTTTGGAACATCATAAAATTTAAATAACAAATGACTCACTAAATAAAAAAAAATTAACAACTAACTAGGGGAATTTAGATTTTCACAAAGTCGAAGCTTAATAACAAAACTAAATTACGAATCCGCATACAATATTACAACACTTTCATAACATTCGTAATTACTAATACCAAAGATAATAAAGTTTCATTGTGCTAAATTCTTAATCTCAAGTTAGCCACGGTTCTGTACTCGCAGCAGTCCCAAATTCAGCCTCAACCTCTTCTTCGACATAATCTTGCATGAAACGCTAGGGCAACAAAATATATATGCCATGAGTTTTGCAACACAGTAAGAAAACATAACCAACCTACTATTCTTTTTAAGAGAAAACAATCAAATCATAACAATTAAAATAATAGTAAAATTCAATAGCATGATAAATGTAACAACCATTATAATAATTTCGACAATTTTAATAGTTTAGGTGACATTCCAAATCTCACCAAAGAGATTTTCATACTAACCACTAAGTCATGGCCACGGTTAATTTGGAAACCCCCCCTTGGTCAAATATTAAAGAACTACCAAAGATGCCCACACCAGGAATTATATACCCAAGCTGTGGCATCCATGGTCTGCCCCCAAGGGAACGGTCTGCCAGGGGTATGTAACCTCCCTGCGTGCCACCCGCACATCCACCCTTATTCCAAAACCAAATACCGATAAGGGTTCAAATAAGTCCTGTGCCATCTTAGGGTTTCGCGACATAATTTACATAATAATTATTAAAAACCAAGACTCACCCTGAAGAACCGGTATTAACCCTCGATCATTAACTTTATACATGCTGTTAATCATTTCAATTAGCTTTTATATTAATCACAAATGATTCAAATTTTTTATCACAAATAATGTTATGCCAACTCATTAAAATTCTCAACATAACACATTACACATGTCACACAAAAATAAATCAATGCACAAAATTTCAATAAGCAATTTATTTCAACCATGGTATGAAATAATAATGTAGATACAAAAAAAAAATGAATCATAATCACACGCATGCATGGATTTTTAATTTACAAGATTAGACTAGCACAATTTTAATTTTTGGTCCAAATAAACAATTGAAGAGATAATTTTTGATTCCCCCTTAATCTGCCAAAATTTTCAGAATGTATATCTTGCAAATAAAATTATAAATAAATTACTTATACAACTCTAAAATTCACATAAATCTACAGAATACTTAATAAACATGTTATGGTCATTTTTTCAGAAAGAATTTTCCAAAAATAAATTATAAATAATTCTTAAAAATTCGAAGGATGTTTATGATACAGATTTATCACATTTTCTTAAATTAATCCCATAATTAAATTTATAAATTAATTCCATAATATAAAAATTTATTATGAAACTAGACTCTTCAAATTTAATTTTTTTCTTAGAAATTACAAGATTTGGTTTAATATAAAATTTTTAATGATTTTTCAAACACATAGTAAAATCTGCCTATAGCTTCAGATTTGGTTAAAAATCTGTATAAATTCGTAAAAAGTTCCATAATTGTTGAAATTTTTTTTAGATGAACTATACATCATTATAAACAACTTTTTAGAAGAAATCATCTTCAAATTTTGAGTATAAAATTGTCTAAAAATTCGTACAAAGTTTTTGGCAGATTCAAGGACCAAATAAATTCTTCAATCCTCTCTATAATGGTATAAACTACACATGCAAGTCCAATTTCCACAATATTATCATGATTTTAAGACTACCAATAATTCCAAATATTTAATATACCATCATAAATTTTCATACAATTATAAATGAATTCTATCTACAAGTTTAGACATTTTATCATATGTATATAATGTGAAAATTTCAACAATTAAAAAAAATGAGAGGGTTGAGAGGGTTTTCTTAGTTAGTTGTAGGATTGAAATGGAATAATGAAATGGTAGGAAAATATGCAACCTCAACTTCCTCCTCTTCTTCCACAAGAATTCCCTCTACTTTTTTTTTCTCTCTCCGATTAGTCTTTGAAAACACGAACACAGTGTGTATGAACACTATGTGTGGTATGAATATATAGAAGCCACTTCTCTGAGGCTCGCTCTCTCTCTCTCTCTTTTCTTTCTCTTTCTCTTTCTCTTTATTCTGTGAAGTCCAACGTGCCTCTCAATTCCAATGATGCATAATGAGGTGAGGGTTCCTACACTTACATGCATACAAACATGTGGCAAAGTTGCCACAAAAATCTGCTCTTTTCTTTTCTTTTCTTTTTTTTTTTTTTTTTTGTTTTGTTTTGTTTTGTTTTGTTTTGTTTTGTTTTGTTTTGTTTTGTTTTGTTTTGTTTTGTTTTGTTTTGTTTTGTTTTGTTTTGTTTTGTTTTGTTTTGTTTTGTTTTGTTTTGTTTTGTTTTGTTTTGTTTTGTTTTGTTTTGTTTTGTTTTGTTTTGTTTTGTTTTGTTTTGTTTTGTTTTGTTTTGTTTTGTTTTGTTTTTTTTTTAAGCTTTATGATCCTACTTCAGGACTGTAAAATAAATTTTTAACTGTAGTAGAGTAGAGGTTTCTACCATACTCTCTTTTTTCAATTCCTTGAATTCAGAGGTTAAATTATCATTTTGCTTCTTCGATGATTCTCTTGTTAAGAATTATTTTTTATTTTTTTGATTTAAAATTCATAATTTTTTCTTTTATTGTCGTCATTTCAGCCATAAGCACCTTCCTAGCTGAAGAACTTTGCAACTTCATTTGTTTGCAAGTCCAACAGCTTAGTATTGCAAGTTTCACTACTAGAAAAAGGACCTTTTGCTACTATTTAATTTACGACCACTTGATTAGCCATCGCAAATAACCAATTTATTCCTCTGTTACCCGTTTTCCTTCCTTATATTTGCCCTAGTTTTAGAAAAATTAAAACACAGATTGTTCTCTCTCTCTCTCTCTCTCTCTCTCTCTCTCGTATTACAGACATGCATAGCTCTACTCTCTAGCTCTTCCGCTCGCCATTGTCGTCTGAAGATCTCCATCGGTATGAATCGCTCTTTCAATCTCGCTCTCATTCTCTGTCTCTTAATCTCCTTCCTAATCTCTATCTCTCAATCTTTCTGTCTCGCTGTCTTTCTCTCTCTCGTTTTCTTGAGTTCTCAAGCTTGTAATATACTTGTCAATTTGTTGAATTTTCAGGTGATTTCATTGCAAATTAGGTGATTTCATCCGTGTCTTGTGAGAATAGAAGTAAATTTGCAATCCTCAACCTCCTCTATCGCCTCTGCTTCTCTCTATCTGACTTAGGAAATCTAGGCGTTCAATTATTTGCAATTCTTTCTTTTCATCTGAAATGTTTCTATCTATTTTCAATCTCTATCTTGATCTGAGAACTTGTTTAGCTCCTTATGTGATCAGATTGATCATAAACGTTTGTTTTTCCTCAAGTGAGACTTGAATCTCAGTTTGTTTATTGTGAAAATGTTATAAAACGAGAGCAAAAAAATGTATTTTTATTGTTTTTTTTTCATTTTTTAGAGCCAAAAACAATACTATAACCAGATTCATAAATTATTTTTTTCTTTTCTATTCTTTTTTCCATTTAGTTCAGGAATACTGAATAAAACTGAAAATTTTCCCATCCTTCTATCAATGTTATAGCCATATAGATACACATTATATATATATATATATATATATATACTTTAATGCACACCAGATGCTGTAATTGTTTAAAATGCTTGATTTTGCTGACTGTTTCCGTTCTAACTTGAACATCTGCATTCCGTTATGTACAAATTATGGCTTTTTTCTTATGTTTTTTTTTTTTTGCCCCTAAATATGATGTTTGTGCTGAAGAAAAATGATTTTTTAAAGCTTTTTATATCATTTATTTTCATTTATGGAAGGGAAGAAGAAAAATAGTAAATAAGGAAGCAATTCGATTAGTTTTTGTTCTACGATTCATAGCCACGTGGCATTTATGACAAGTGTCTTTGCTTCCTTGCTCATCCTAGTTTCTGTTAGACCATCCTTGCTCATTTTGAATCTTGAAAAATTCAGAACTTGACCTTTGCTTTGTATTTTTTCCTTTAAATTCTTTATGTGCATGGTACTTTATTTTTATTTTTACTGTGATATGGTGGTTATCTGACTAGTAAAAGTATATCTTATAATTATTTCCTCATTTGACATCTTGGGGATGTATTTATAATGGTAGATTATTAGTTAAATTTATTTGATAAGTGTGCCTCAATTTTGTGTTATTCTTGAAGAAAGTTTCTTAGATGTTTCAAAATTAAAATTTCAGGTTGTTTCTGCATACAATAACTTAAATGAATGCTTTAGATGTAATGACAAATTAATACTTTTGTGAGAGTTAGGCGTTGCATTAAGGATTTTGCTTCATCTCGTGTTCATCTATGAATGTTTTACTTGGAAACCTGCAACAAGAATGGTTCGTGACAACATTTGATTTTCTATATCGGAGGCCATTGTTCATATCTTTAATTGTGCCACCAAAATTCTCAATACATATCTTTCAATACTCTTTATATCATTGCACTTCGACCAATACTAATTCGTCTCCTACTATTTAAAACATGATAATTTTTTTTTAATCATCTTTTAGTTTTCAAATCTTCAATTGTCATTTAGTGACGTACATTATGCTTAATTGGGCATTACTATTGTTGTTGTAATATATATTTGTGATTGCAGATTAGGAGAAGCAGAAAAGGCAATGTATCACTATAAACAAGCTGGTGCTAAATCAGACCCTGATGTCTTGACTAAAGCTAAAAACCTTCAGGTTCATCTGAGTAAGTGTATTGAGGCCAAGATGCAACGAGATTGGAACACATTGCTG